CGAATATGGTTCTGTAACAGTGTATAAGGCCTAAAATGAGTAAAATTATGTAAAAAAGGCTTTTTCATATCTGTATTGATATGAGTTTGTGTTTGTATAACTGAGGTTCTTTTTGTTTGTTTTTATTGTAGTTTTTGAACCTCGTCACATGTGTGGTATGAATAAATTCTGTGGCGCGAGTTTCGCATTTGTGTTCTTGCTGCTACAAAGTTCAAAAAACCTTTTGAACGAGAAGATGGACTGTTGTGGACAGCCGGGCCAGGACTGAAGTGACAACGTAACAGAATGCCAGGACAAGTCAGAAGATAACAGTTGAAAGTGAATGGTGACTTGTGAATTGTGACAGTTCTGTTGAATTTGTGTTTTGTCAGTTTTGTAGGACATTATAAGGATTAATATGTCTGACAGAAGTGGCAATAGTGAATTTGATTGTAGGACATATGATGAACTTGGTATTGCACCAGTGTACAGACATGATGTTCTAGACTATGATGAGACTGAATTTAGTCAACGTCCTACTCGTCAACGGGTCCTAACGGAGAAAGGAAGGGCTGAACGTTTGTGTGGTTTGAGAAGGGGTGCTACTAGTGCACTCGCTGCTGTGACCAAGTGTAAAAATGAACTCACTAGACTGTTGAATGATTCTAATGCTGACAATTTACACTTGATTAAATCATGTTTTAGTAGATATCATGATTTGTGTTTCAGCTATGAAAATGTGTTGAATCTTACACTAGGGAGATGGAGTCTCCAGAGGAAGTAAATATCTATACTGTTCAGGCTAAAGAGAGGTTACAGGCAATGAAAAGAATTCCGGGAGCAGGTGTTGGATTCAATCAAGACACAGGAACGTGAGTTATTAGCGGAAGTGAATATGATTCAGTGTCCTACAGGGGTTCACAGCACAGCCATAGATCTAAAGGTGGGAAGTCTACTTTGTCTTATGCAAGTTCTACCAAATCTGCTCGTACCTTTGAGAAAGCAAAACTTGCAGAATTGATTGCAGAGCGTTCTATGATGGATGCTGCACAGAAGGTCAAGGAGTTACAGCTGGACATTGAGATAGCCAAGGTACAGGCACGTGAGAAAGTTTTTCGCCACTGCAGAAAATGATGACATTGAACAGACAGCGGTGAAAGATGTATTCAAGGCAAGTGACCAGATGAACAGACTTACCTTGCAAGACACAGAGCCCAGAAAGCATACATATCCACTGCGCAGTACTACCTTTAAATCAGAGCCACATCCCAGTGAGTATGTAAGCTATCCAGCTACTTCCAGTAACTACCCCAGGCACCTCCCTACCAGTACACTAGAGTCTGTTAATATGAATCAGGGGCAAAGTGCAAGTAATATCATGACAGAAGTTTATAGGCAGATGACAAGTGCAATGTTATTGCCACAGACAAAAGTTCCTACATTCAAAGGGGATCCTATGGAATTTGGACAATTTATCATGTCTTTTGATGCTCGCATTGTACCACACACAAATAATGATGCTGACAGATTGTACTATCTTGGCCAGCAGCTTGAGGGTGAGGACTAAGGACTTGATATCAGGCTGTTTATATATAGAGCCTACAGAGGGATACAGGACTGCACGTCAGCTCTTGCATAATGAATATGGTGACCCATATAGTGTTTCCAGAAGCTATCTGAGCAAAGTACTTTCTTGGCCGACAATCAAGAATGATGACAACATTGGACTCAAACAGTTATCTGTCTTGTTGTTTAAATGCTACCATGTTATGCATAGCATCTCTCACATGTCGGTGTTGAATCATGCTCCAAACCTACAGGCCATTGTACAGAAGCTGCCTTTCACCTTGCAGAACAAATGGAGAGACAAGGTCACAAAACTTAGAATGGGTGGACAAAGGGCTGTTGATTTCAAGGCATTAGTGGATTTTGTTGATTTTGCAGCCAAGTCAGCGAATGAGCCCATTTTTGGTAAGGAAGCCCTGACAGCTGGCCAAGAATCGACAAAACGTCGAAGAGAAAACAAAAGGAGCAACCAGTCTTCACGAAGGCAAGAATTCAGCAGTTTTGTAGCAGGAGTAAACAGCAATGAACAGAAAAATGGTAAGCGTTCCAAGGACAATGAGAAATGGTTCTGTTATTTCTGCAAGAAACAGCATGATATTGACAATTGTGAATCTTTTAAACAGAAGTCACTAGCAGAGAGAAGAGCTTACCTTCGTGACAACAACAGGTGCTTCAGCTGCTATGGTGCTAACCATACTTCCAGGGGATGTCTGAAACATCGTGTTTGTGCAGTCTGTGAATTGCGCCATCCCACAGCCTTACATGATTACAACTACAAGCCTGAAGATTCTCCAAAGACAAGTAGTAAAGTACTGTCTGGATCCAGTAATCAAGAGACAAGTGTGGAGACAGCCTGTAATGTCACTGGGACAGGTGTCATAGAAACAGTTCTGCAGCCTATCATTCTTGTCAAAGTAAAACAGAAGGGTCAAGACAAGGTAATCACGACGTATGCCTTTCTAGATAATGGAAGCACAGGATGCTTTATCACCAATGACTTGAAGCAGAGACTGGATGCTAAAGCTATGAAGTCCACACTGAAGCTTACTACCATGAACGGAACGGAAGTGATTGATACTGATGTTATACATGATCTCATCATCACTGACCTGTCTGATGACAATCTTTCTCTTCTTCCCAAGACATTCTGTCGAGACGTCATGCCTGTAGACCACAGTCATATCCCTCAGCGTCAACTTCTACAAAAATGGAAGCATTCTCAAGGTATAGCTGATACATTGCCTCCATACCAGCCAAACATTGACATTGGACTCCTGATAGGCATCAACTGTTCTTCTGCACACCAGCCACTTGAAGTAAGGTCAGACAAGTTGTCAGATCTGTTTGCTGTTCGCTATCGACATGGTTGGACAATCAACGGCCCTATACAGGTGAAGCACAACAGAGAAGACAATACAGTGGTGTGCAATAGAATTCTTCTGCGTCCAGTCACAACAGCTAATGAGTGCTTGTCTGAAACAGTTCTCAAGATGTTTGAACAGGACTTTAGTGAACATGGTCAAGGTAAACGACCTGGTGAATTGGGACTCTCAGTGGAGGATGAAAGATTTATGGAAATTGTTAAAGGTCAACACTGTTTCATTGATGGACATTTCCAAGTTCCACTACCTTTTAAGAAGTTGGATCAGACTATGCCATACAATCGTGAGCTTGCTGTCAAGAGAGCTTTGGGTCAAAAGAAAAAAGATGCTCCGTGATGACAAGTATCACAGAGATTATGTAATGTTTGTAGAATCTCTTCTCCAGAAAGAATATGCACGCAAGATCCCTCCTGCTGAACTGAACACACAACCTGGACGTATATGGTACTTACCTCACCATGGCATTTACCATCCGAAGAAACCAACAAAGATCAGGGTGGTCTTCGATTGTAGTGCGAAATGTAAAGGTCTGGGTTTAAATGATGTACTGCTTCAGGGTCCCGACCTCACGAATTCATTGTTGGGCGTTCTTCTTCGCTTCAGAGAAAACAGCATAGCTTTCATGGGTGATATAGATGCTATGTTTCACCAGGTCAGGTTGCCAGCTGAGCATCAGGACTTCTTTCGCTTTGTTTGGTGGCCAAATGGAGATCTAGACGCAGAACTGGAGGAATACTGCATGACGGTCCAGGTCTTTGGAAGCGTGTCATCTCCATCTATCGCTAACTTCGCACTCAAGGCAACCGCTGACAAGGTTGAAAAGAAATATGATGAAAGTGTGACAGAAACTCTGAGAAGAAACTTTTATGTAGACGATTGTCTTAAGTCTGTGGGTACTGAGGAAAACGCCATCAAACTTATCAAAGACTTACAGTCAGCAAGCATGGAAGGCGGATTCAAACTGGCAAAGTTTGTCAGTAACAACAAAGCAGTGGTTTTGTCTATCCCTCCTGAAGACAGATCTAAAGATATTCAAGCAATAGATATGGACTATGACAAGTTGCCTGTAGAACGAGCACTTGGATTACAGTGGCATACCGAATCGGACACATTTGAATATGCAGTTGTATTACCAGACAAAGCCTTGACAAGGCGAGGTATATTGTCGACAATGTCTTCACTGTACGATCCTCTTGGACTAGTATCACCTGTGCTCCTGCCAGCCAAGAAGATATTACAGGACTTGTGTAAAGACAAATCACTTGACTGGGACGACATTGTCAGTGAAGAGAATCAGCAACTCTGGAAACAGTGGCTTGCAAACCTTCAATCTCTCAGGTCGTTGAAAATTGATCGTTGCATGAAGCCTGATTATTTCGGCAACATTGTCTCAAAGCAGCTCTGTGTATTTTCCGATGCCAGCACAAACGGATATGGATGTTCAGCCTACATTAGGCTTTCTGACAACTGCAACAACATCCATACAGTACTTCTCATGGGCAAGTCACGTTTAGCACCTATGAAAACCCAGAGTATTCCCCGACTCGAATTGACGGCGGCTACAGTGGCGGTTAAGATCGGACGACAACTGCTATGTGAACTGGACATTGACGATGAGAATATCACCTACTTCACAGACTCAACCACAGTCCTTCACTACATCAAGAGTGAGCACAGAAGATTTCCTGTCTTCGTAGCAAACAGGGTTAGACTGATACGAGACTTTTCTACTCCTCAGCAATGGTTCTACGTGGATTCAAACAGCAATCCAGCAGATATCGCTTCAAGAGGAAGCAGTTGTGAAGGCCTAGTGAAGTCAGCAACATGGTTTGAAGGTCCACGATTCATGAGACTACCTTATTCAGAATGGCCATCCCAGCCTGCTGACACTTTGTATGACAAAGACCACACTGAGGCCGAGGAGTGTGTCGCTATTGTGAGTGTAAAAAACAGTCTCAAAGTTCAAGTTGTGGTGGTTTGATGAAGCTGATAAACTACTACTCCTCTTGGTATCGCCTGAAACGAGCTGTTGCAGTCTACCAACGATTAGCCAAAATCTTGTATCAGAGAAATATGAAACGTGATATCAAATCCCTACTAACTGATCAGAAGTTCACTGTTACAGAACTGAAAGATGCTGAAACATCTATTGTGAGATTCATACAATCAGAACATTACAGGTCAGAGATAAACGACTTGAGGAAATCTGGGTCAGTGAATAGGAATAGTGGAATTCGCAGATTGAGCCCATTTCTTCATGACGGACTACTGCATGTTGGAGGTCGTCTATCACGAGCGCGCATATCTGAAGATATGAAGCATCCTATTCTGATCCCTTGTACCAGTCCTATCAGTATCTTGATCATCAGAGAGATTCATGAGAATTCTGGACATATTGGACGTTCACAGGTACTGTCTACTTTGAGACAGCGCTATTGGATAACGAAGGCAAATAGCACAGTCCGCAGCGTCATCAACAAATGTACAACATGTCGAAGATATAAGAGGCAGACAAGTACTCAGCTCATGTCGGACTTACCAGAGAAAAGAGTTAATCCAGCTCCTCCATTTGCATATTGTGGTGTGGATTTCTTCGGCCCACATACAGTGAAAGAAGGAAGAAAAAGCGTGAAACGTTACGGGGCTCTCTTCACTTGTTTCACCAGTCGAGCTATCCATATCGAAGTAGCAAATTCCTTGAGCACAGATTCTTTCATACAGGCCTTGCGTCGTTTCATCGCAAGAAGAGGACCTGTACAGGAAATCCATTGTGATAATGGTACAAACTTCACCGGGGCAGCAAAAGAACTTGAACAATCTGTACAAGAAATGGATCAGTCTAGATTACATGAGTACTTGCTGAAAAGCAACATTTCCTGGAAGTTTAACCCACCAACAGCTAGTCACATGGGCGGCGTGTGGGAGCGACTTATACGTTCCGTGCGTACTGTTCTTAATCCCCTACTGCGAGAGTTTGGAGAGCGAATAGATGATGAGTCCTACAGAACACTGCTGACTGAAGTTGAAGGTATTGTAAATTCCCGACCCTTGACAACGTCGTCTGATGATCCGCTTGATCTCCAGCCTCTAACGCCAAATCACCTCCTCATGGTGAAAACACAAGTCTTTATTCCTCCGCCTGGAACATTTCAGAGGAATGATGTCTATATGCGTCAACGTTGGAGATGTGTTCAACATTTGACCAACCTTTTCTGGACAAGGTGGAAAAATGAGTATCTCCTTACCTTACAAAAACGTCAAAGTGGAATGCTCCGAAACGTAACTTTGAAGTAGGAGACATTGTACTGCTGAAAGATGAGTCTTTACCCCGAACCTACTGGTCTATGGGACGCATCGTAGAAACGGAGCCTGATCAGCAAGGTTATGTCCGAACTGTAACTGTGAAGACGCAGGGGTCTACGTTACGCAGGCCTATCCACAAGCTTGTGTTGTTGCTTGCAGGCAACCAGTGAATTTGTGTGTTTTCTGCTTGAATTTCCAGCTTTAATGTAGTATTTAGCCTTTATTTTTGTGTTAAACATGTTATATATGTTTAAGAGGCCGAGTATGTAAAGGCTAAAACCATATTTTTTCACTTTTGTACAAAATGCTTATTACAATCATCTATAAGCATATTTATGTTTCAAAATCATCATCTACAATCAATTACATCTCCAATAAGTTAATTCACTTCTTTAGATGAGTAAATCAAAACATTGATTCTACTCCTTATTGTAATCAAAACAAAAGCACATGTCATTGTTTACAAACATGGGGTCAGCTGACCTAATTTGCATATCATCACCACCTGGTGGCTGTTTCAAATTTGTTACCTGGCTGAAGTCACTGACTCTCCATATTGGTCATGCACCTGGTCCAAGTGGGAACACAAGGTGTAAGTAACAATTTTTGCTGTATCCTACCATAATGTTTTAGAGAAAGTGTAATGTAATGAATATCTGCTATTTTTTGGTGTTTATTATGTTTTTTGGTAGGAAATGTGTAATTTGAAGGGAAATTTCATGTGAACTGTCTATTTCTGTTATTTGCATTGTTTTCATGACTGAGCCTAGATGAAATAACGAATATGGTTCTGTAACAGTGTATAAGGCCTAAAATGAGTAAAATTATGTAAAAAAGGCTTTTTCATATCTGTATTGATATGAGTTTGTGTTTGTATAACTGAGGTTCTTTTTGTTTGTTTTTATTGTAGTTTTTGAACCTCGTCACATGTGTGGTATGAATAAATTCTGTGGCGCGAGTTTCGCATTTGTGTTCTTGCTGCTACAGAAACTCTTGCTAAATATTCACAATTGGCAAATTATCCAGAGATATCAGAAACAGGAAAAGACAAAAGTTAATTTTGAAACAAATAACGGTGAAGACTATAATGAAGTGTTTTCCTTCCATGAGCTCTACATACAGCTCTTGAGCAAGCATTGATACTGCAACGGATGATGACAATATGCACTTACGACAAGCATGGGTTGCTAAAAACCAACCGCCATTACGGGATTAAAGCATGCCTGATTAATAAGATGCAAAAGGAATATCCATTAATTGTGTTTGACTTTTCCAAAAACGTTGGAAATCGCATGGCTCAAACTGTCAAAATTTTCTTCATAAACAAATAACAATCTGTAACTATGTCAGGATAGCATCATTCCCTGTCGGTGGTTTAAAATAAGTTTCAAAACTTTATGCATTGATTTTATTCCAATTCTTCCATCAGTATTTGATAAACTTACTGTGGTAGTGGGGTAGCCAAATGGCTCATAACGTTCGTTGCTCCGCAATGTTTGCTGCAGATCACAAGCAACTGACCATGGGGACTTACAATACCTTTACTACCTGCATGGACCCAAGCTGGATCCACACCATCCTTTAAACGCTGGTGAATTATTGAAATTTAGGCATTATAGTTACGATACGTCATGCTGAAGACACGGGCTTGATTCTCCACATGGTTTCAATGTGTGAAGCCCCTCTTGTGTCCGATATTGCTGAACTCTTAATTAGAAAAGAATTTGTCGACCATAAAAGCCTAATTGAGTGCAAACTGTATAGCCCAGTTTTGGGATGCTCCCCGACGTGATATGCATGGAATATGGCTACAATAGCGTAAAGTAAATTAAATGCTCACTCACTCGCCAAAGTCATAACTAAATTTGAGGAATTGTGCATTCTTTGAAGGACATTCTGAGTAAGCACCTACGTTTCCGTGTAATTTAAAAATCGTAGTCTCTTTCCTTGCGCCGTCGGAAACAAAGTCAATTAGGGCATATAACTGTCAGGTTCCTTCTACGCGGAACACGTTTCTTACACAATAGGTGAAAAAAATCCGTTCCTGAAAATTAAACTGAATGGTTGATGAGTTTTCGCATGCTGGCAGAAATGTGAAATTTCCACACAAAGGAAATATATCAATAATTTGAATTCAACAGCTTACAAATTGCAGTTAGAACTTATGAATGAATAATGAATAAATTTAGGTCAATATTCTGCTTCACACCTATGAAAAACAGCAGGACCTACAATGAGGACTTCAATAAGTATCACATTCTTGGTGCATTTGTAAATGTAATGCAATTTCCAGTGTTTCTGATTTTGACTTTTAAGGGCAGTGTTGTTTTTGCCATTTACATGACAAACGTCAAAGACGTAATGAAACTGAACCCGCCAGATGCTTCCACTGTGAATGAGTTAATATTTATCTTCACATCGGCAATATTTCAGCCATATCGTGACGAAAACAATTAATGATTATATCATATTCAGTAAAAGTAGAAATTAAATCCTATTGACGAAGAACAGTAAAAGTACTAGTGTATCACAGATATCCATTTAAAACTAGTAAATAAATATAAAACATGTCAACTAGAAATGACAGGACAATGTAAAAACAGGCTATAGATTGCCAACAACTGAAGGTAGATCACCATACTAGGGACCATGGGGACTTACAGTACATTTGCTTCCTGCATGGACCCTAGCTGGTTTACTCTATCCCTTCAGCCGTTAGCAGTTTAGACACATTTAGCCATACATTAAAAACACACATATTCTACGATTGAAAAGGTTGGATAGATTTAAATTGACTTTGAATGTCTTGGGACTTACGTACACGACCACTGGAAGGGCATCTTTACGAAGCAAGGTCGAGAACTAAAATAGTCCGGTTTCCACCATTAACGAACTGGTGAGGAACTTCGTGGCCCCATGTGTAGCGCGACCAGTGTGGCGCTAAAGTTATTTCCCTTCAACCTGTTGGCTCGTGGTTACTATATTACTTGCATTTACCTCAAACGAAAAGGTGGCGTCTTGTCAAGAGGACTTTATAGATAAACTTGATCTATACTGTCATGGAGGGTATCACATGTCTTGAGCACCTTCATTAACAACTGAATAACATCTATTTGTCGACTTCCAATAAACGGTAAACATACTTTTTATTCGACCAGACTATACAAGTGAGTTTACAACCCGGATGTTGACTGCCCTGTTCGATTTTGATTGGACTATGCACAAACTAAAGAAATTCCAGGCAGGTTCGAGAAGGATGTTAACTTCAATATTTGAGCCCGTTAGAGCTCTTGCCTCGGAGAAGGATCTCGAAAGGGAATTTGATTTCTCAGTCTTAAAGAGGATGTGGGTTTGTGTGTTGTTGGTAGAGGTTTTAGTGAAGAAAAAATCAAATTCACCTCCGACCTGATTAATCCAACATCGGAGCCAGTGGAGATTTGCGATAGTGTAATCTCATCTCTAACAGATTGATCGATTTCTCGCTCTCACTTCACGTTGTAGAAATGGTTGTCCAACAAATACAAGAATAATTAAAAAATTATGTCTGTTTTTACACCAGAGAGGTTTAAAAGTTAGTATATAATGACATGCTGGTATTTGTCCCTCGGAGAATTCGAAAGGTGTCAGAAAGTTCAATTATGAAGTGCTTTCAACGTTTTGTGTCACACAAAAGAAAATGTCACTTCAACTTATGATACAGGATCATCAGTGATAGGATTTGCCTGTATTACGTGCGACGGTTAGACTGTATTACTATAATAAAAACTGTGAGTGTCCGAACACTCTTTCTGTGCAAACATGGCTCCCGATCAAAGGCTACCTCAAAACCCTTGACATTATCGATTTTTCCATCACAAGGAATAACTATTTTAAAGTTTCACCCACGAAGGATATTTTAATGAAAGTGTGTTCTTAATTCTTGATTATTTAAAAAAAAGGTTATTACACACGTTTTGATTGTAAAAGTTTGTATATAATAACACATTTTATATAATTAGTAGAAGAGCTGATAACTAAGTTTGTTTGTGGCGGAACCCATGAAGGGGTTTGAGCACTGTAAAAGTATTGTCCCCCCACCCACCCCGAATGGGTACTGAAAGTCCATACCATTCAAACCATGTTTGATCTCCCACCGTTTTAACATAGAAAAATATGTCATTTTTTTTGGCTAAAATTCCTTACTATCGCCAGCAAATGAAGGGGAGATGTAAATCCATACGGGTAGCAAATGTACCAGATGGTCTCTAATTAATGTGATCTACCTGCCTTTGTCGACAGATTGTCCAAACGTTATTTATTATCAATGAATGACATGCTTAAGGCACGATATTGCTGGTGTGAATTTAAATTTTATCTCATTCACTACCTCAAAAGCGTGGGTACCTATACAAGATTTTAAATATTCAGGAAATGTTGAGATGCATACACTGCGACAATTTATCTCGGGACGGGACAAATCTGCTTGGAGCACTGCAGATATTGCAGGGTAAAGTGGCTGTGCATCCAAAGCTCACATTCGCACCAACAATCAATGATGTTAGCGAACAATGTTGAAATAGAGCTGTGTTCTTATTAAAGGGGTGATCTCTTCACAGGGTCGTAAGAAAATGTTTTCTTATGGACATGAAGAATCATTCCAGTATTTAGTTCTTGAATAAGTGGGGTTTTGCGTTCCTTACATTGTTTTAGATATTTCTTTAGAAGACAAACGTGATAAATATCCATGCTGCTTGAAGCGGTATTAAATCCATTTAATCAATCACATCAGGAATTAGACTGCTCAAAGATCAAGAATGGATGGATTGTATCCGTGTTAGAAATCTAAACTGTTTTCTTTGGTTTGACACTCTTCTGATTTTCATAGATCAGAGACCCCACTGAGGCGAATACAGAAGGCGGAAGGAGTGGGTGAGCTGTAGTTTAAAATGTCAGCATTGTGTCGCTTCCGCAACGTGAGAAGAGTGATATGCCTTCAATAGATGAGCAATTGA